TGCAAGAAAATATCACATTAGCAACTAGAAAATTTCAAGTTTGCTAGTCATGATCCAATGCAATGCAAACTATGTGTCATTGTAGTGGTCTGCAATGGATGGTGTTTAGAACACATATTGAGGTTTTAATCTTTTATTGTTCATTAGATTTAAAGAGTTGTAGGATTTAAGGAGTTGGTGTGGTCAAAGTTAGTGGTTTGTCATGTGGAGATATTTGAGGAAGTAAATGATAGCTATTATATTTGGAGAAATTTCAGCCCAAATGTGGGTTTGGAATACCCACTAATAGATAGTTATAAGAAGTGGAGCAAAGTGGAGGTTTTTCTTCACCAAATTTGGCTCCAACCAAGATTGAGCACTCTTCGATTGGATACAGCAACCAAGATTGAGCACTCTTACAGCCTTCACAAAAAAGAGGGCAAACATTTGACAAGGACCATACAATGGAGGTGAGACCCTTTTGGTTGGGGAGAAGATAAGTGCTGAACCTAGTTGTGGTGATGAACAACATTTAATTGCATAGTGCTTAAACTGGTTCTATCCTTTCATTTCTTATTTCTGCATGATTATGACAAGAAAGCCAAGTGTTATTCAATCTTTCAATGTGTGATAAGCAGGAATGATCTGAAAGATGGGATTAGCATTGACGAGCTTATATTTTTGTTTTTGTATATGTAAATGGGTTTGAGTACCCCTTTTACTCAATATTTTTAATTGAAATTTCTTTGCAGTTCAAAAAAAATATATATTCGGCTCCAACCAATTGTTAAATACCATCTTCCTCGACAAAATTCATTTAAAGCTTGCTCCTCGCAAGAAATTGCCCAATACAACCTTACATCAATTTCCAGAACAACCAAGCAATTTGCAAAATGTTCTCCAAATCGAAGTTTTGAACTCAACTTTGGCTTAGTCTTTTAGGTTAGCTTTGATTTGTCTTAAGCAAGTTAGCTTTTAGGATCTAGCCCTGTGTTACCTTTTTATTGTAATTGTTTTATATGAAATCTGTCCTTATTCCTTCTCAGCACTTATGAGCTCAATTTGCAAATTCATTAACATTAAATTCTAGATCTATTATTTTACTTGATCTAAGTTTCACAATTTCTTTTTTGTTAAGTAATCATGTCTTTTATGTTTCAAAACTTCAATTTTACTTCTATATCTTCTCTATTTATACTTCTATTGTTTGATATGCAGGTAGATTAGTCAAGTCTACCAATATAGTTTTTCCATTGGTCATCAAGAAGAACCTCTCCCATGCTGTACACACCCCTCCCACTCCCAGCTTCCTACCCTACCATACATTTCAATGCATTAATTTCTAACTCATTTGTGTAAAAAACCATCGCTACTTCTTGCCAATCATCTAATCTAAGGCATATCTTTTTATTAAATTGATATTTTTCCAGCCATCTAACTCAAAGGTCAACTGCTTGAAAGAATAAGGTCGTTAAGAAAGTTATTTTCTTGTTTTTGCTACATAGCAAATGGCACACTACAGTACTTCTATCACATGGCAGGGGAAACAGTAATCTAGGGTGTGATAATAGCTTGTGCGGTTTATGTTTTTTAGCTTTTATGTGTTGCTATATGGCAAGTCACTGATATATCATACTTGGTTTTATCAAAAACAAAAAACCAAAAACAAATTAATGACCCATGTTATTCATCCTGTTATAAAGGTATTACAAGCAAAAGCGAGATAGATTCTCTATATTTTGGTGAAGTAATGATAAAGGTAATTATCCATTTCACCTTTTTCTTTTTCTTCCCTTTAGCTGATTGATGCACATATAGAAGAACTGCTAATGTAACTCTGTTCAGACTAATTACTTCTGTTCTGTCCGGTATGAAATTAAGGGGGAAAAATCTAAACAAAATCAAAACTGAATCTTGCATAGCTTATCTTCCCATGGTCATCTTCTAGTTTCTTCTTCTCCAATATCAATATTTGCACTTTCCATAACCTGCAGAGAAAATCCAGTAAGAAAGAGCACAAAAATAAGAAAATAAGATCACTGGCCTCGTGGATTTAGGTTTAAATTCTGTTTTGTGCAAGTTTAGTCAAATTTTAATTCGTTAGTTTCATATAATTTCAATTTAGTGATTGATTTGCACAGTAAGTTTTATAATATGCTAATTAGTCCATGATATGAATTGTAAGGGATGGAGTTTTACTCTCATACTTGGGTCAGTGTCTGTCATGGCTCCAGTTTGAGCAAAATCACAATCGTACTGGTGTTTTCCGGTAGATTGATAGTAAGCATTCATGGCGTACGCTGCATGCGCTCGAACGGTGTCGGGGAAGAAGCACTCCCCGCCTTCTTGAATCGGCGAACAGTCCACACCTAGGCCGCATACATAATCAATATTCCTCTGTAGAAAATCTTCGTCTTCTCCTTCCTTCGGAAGACACCATTGTTTCCCTTTCGTATCTGGCTCCGGGGTTGGGTTCATCGGAATTGAAGGTTTAGCCTGTGAAAAAAACATAAACATAAGCTCTCTAATTTGATGAATTATTTCAAGATCAATCCATTCCGAGAATATAATTTCACAGAATCAAAATTAACTAGGACATGGTGAAGATGAGATTGGCTGCGGTGGCTACCGTTGGCCGGAGGATTCCAACGTCGTAAACGGGGGTCATGTCTGGCTGGAACAACCCGAAATGCCTCTCGCTAGTCGGCCCTGGCTTGAGGTCCTCATTGAACAGGGCAAAAATGTAAGTTTCAAAGGCCCGGTTTGGCATTAGCGGTGTACCAGCACCGGATGTAATATACCGCAATAGATTACCATTGTAATCCGCTGCACTCTTCGGGTCGACGCCGATTTGGTTTGAATCCCCCATTGACGGCCACCCTGTTTCGGCTATGACAATCTCGAGATCGTCAAATCCCAGGAGCTTCATCGCAGAGAAAACGGCGTCCAATTGGGCATCCAGCATGTTCGTGTAAAGTAGCTTCGTATTTTCGTCGTACACGCCCGGATTAGGCCTGAACAGCGCGTAATCTAGTGTGTCCTCCGAGCACCCAAAAAACGGGTACATATTCACCATGAACGGTGAATTCGTAGCTCTGAGGAAATTGAGAAGCGGTTTCAGGACACGGGTATCGTAGCCTCGTCGAAACTGACCGGTGGACGGAGGGCTTGAAGCCGATAGAATCCCGAGGGAGTGAGGCGTAGAAATTTTAATGGTACGGTCTAGTGCTGCTCCGACGAGGGCAGTGTGAAGGGTTTGCATTGCTGGAACAAGGCTGGAGATGAGCAATTTATCGGCAGTAGAAATTATTTCATTTCCGATCAAAATGCGGACAATGTCGGTGGCCGGAATGTAAGGCTGGATATAGTTTTCTAGCCATTGTTGAGCAAATGGTAGCTTGGTAAGGTGGGGGATTTGGTCATTAGGGACTGTAACTGTAATGGCAATGCCAGTATGAGCAAAGGCAGTTAAAATTTGCGGGTCAGCGTCATAGAGCCTGACACGGTTGATGATGGTGGACTCAAGTATAAAATTTGCTACTTGATTTGGAGGAGGAAGATTGTTTGCCACGGTACCATAGTTGACTCCAATTGCTCCTTCAGTTCCTAATTAATAAGAAAACACACACGATTAGTAACATAATACTTACTGATCTCTTGAATTGACTATCTTAGGCACTGACCATGTACCTTTGATTAATATTGTTGCGAAGAGGAGGGAAATACCGGCTATTGGTATTGAAAGCAAAGAGGGAAATGGTTTTGCCATGAGTATGGTGGTGGGTTAACTAGAGCAGAAGGGTGGATATAGTGTACATTGAGAGGCAATGGGTACAGGTGAAGATGGGGAGTTTGAGATGCTTTTCTTGTGAAGTAATCTAAGTGCAAGAACTTTATCTTTGAATATTTGTAGCTTTTTTTGCTTTGAATCTGTTTCAAGTTTCAACCAATCTTGTTTACTATGTGACGAAATACGAACAAAATTTGTTGTCGGGAATCAAATCTAGGGACAAAAATTCTTGCTAGGATCTTGCTTTATTGTCTTTTCTTCAATGCTGGACAAGGTATATATTGCGGAAAGGCTTAGTTTTGATGTTCACTCAGTATTTTTTTTATACACTTAATTACTTGATATTATAGAGATTTAAGCCTTTAGCTTTAAATCAAATAAATGATTTTACATTAATAAATAATAATTTAGTAAGTTTTTATTTATATTAATTTAAAATCTAATTAATTTATTCTTATAACGAGGTATGTAACATTTCTGAGGTACTATTCTTTACTATTAATAGCTCAATAAAAAATTCAATTAGAATGGTTGTTGAGATGGTCTAATCAATATAATTGGTAAAGTCTTTTTAATAGTTGTATATTAATGATTTGAGATTGAATGCTGCCTTCAATGAGTATAGGATTAAGAGAGGAGAAAGTGATTCCCTATTATGTAACTCAAGCATCTAAAAAAAAAGTGGTTGTTGGAGCTGTCTTCAAATTCTCTTTCTACTCTCTATGACAATTACCACCAAAACGTTGATATTCACCAACAAATTAAGACTATTAATGTTTCTCTCTTCCTTACTGGTCCCAAACTCTCTATGACAAGTACCACCAAAATGTTGATATTCACCAACAAAATAAAGACTATTAATGTTTCTCTCTTCCTTACCGGTCCCAAACCAACTAACAAAATCACTTATTCGCTTCTCAAGGCTCTTTTATGCCTTTACTGATACAGCCATAGACTCACCATTAGTAGAAAATTTGTTATTTCAGATTGACTTTCTTGGATCAATATATCATAGTTCCAAGTGAATTTTTCGTACTTTGCAAAGTACAAAGTTAGGGGTAGCACGCACTTGGGCCTTCAACTTAGTGGCGTAAGGCCAAGTATAAATGCATTCTCCCTCCCCCAAGGTAAAGGTTCGAATTTGACTCTTTGTGAATTTGTTTAAAAAAAAAAAAAGTTAGGGGTTGCACATTTTTATTTTATGATTGGTCTGACTGAGTGAAGGACAAAGTTAGAGGTATCTTGGATCAATATATCATAGTTGGAAATGAATTTTCCTTTCCTTTTTATTTGTTCAAAAAATTATATAATTAGTTATTTTTTTCAGTACTTAAATAATTATAATTTTAATAGGATCTATTCACTTACTATATTATTTGAGGGATTAATACCAAAGTAGTCAATACCGTACCGGTATGC